GTGCAACGACTGCTTGCAAAAGTAGCGATCGGCTTTTCCAATTGTCGATTAATTGCACTAGTTGAAATCTATATATGTATATATTCGCAGCAGGACTTTTAATTATTAACTGAAAATTACTTCAATAAAAATAATTTACTCCTCACCACACGCGAGGGTTCTTAAAACTGTTGGGGTTCAATTCAATAATATTTTAAATAAATAAAATAATTTTTACAATTAAAATGTAAATAATATTTGCAAAATTGTTAATGAATAAAAAAATTATCTAATAGTTAAAATAAAAATATAATTAATGTAATTGTGCGGGATCCAAAATATTTGCCTACGGCCCTGGCGTAAGATCGACAGTGCGACGCCCCCTGCGCATGCGTCACCCCTCCAGCGACCAGTTTTCCGAGAAGCGAAGTTTCCCCCTCTCCCGGACTATATAACTCAGACGCTTCGCACGAAAGTCCCATTCCTCTCAAAGCAGTCCTACCGTAAACATAACTTAAACAGCAAGAATAAATGGATTCTACAAATTCAGAGAAAGTACCCTATGTGAGCAGATCGGAAACGGGAATCTTGTATATTATTGGTTGACCTTGTCATGGTTGTGGGGCTTTTCACTAAAGGACATTCAAACAGCAAGAAAGAAATAAAAAAAATTCAGAAACAGTGCGCTAACATGAGCAGATTGAAAAATTAATTATTAATAAATAAATAACTAAACAAAAATTTTTTAAATTAAATATTACTAATTTAAAATTTAATCTCCTTTTTCCACTTTCTTCCACTTGACTAATGCAGTTACAACATAAAAAATTTAACTTTCCCGTAATTTTCGCTAACAGTTTCATCTACGTATTTTTATTAAAATTTCTATATTTTTATAACTATATAAAAATTCTTCTTTTCACAACAAACATAAAAATTCTTTGTTCCCTTGTTATCCTAACGTTATACAAAGTAAAAAAGTTTTACGTGTGTCTTTCTTTTTCAACGTCCAATAGCACATAGTATTTTTTTTAAATTAAAAAGTAAATGGATTCCACCGTCGCTCAGTATATATGCGAAAGCTGAATAAGAGACAAATAGAAAAGATTCACAGAATATGTGTGTATGTATATGTATTCCCTAAAAGAAATTTATGTAAAGTGAAAAGAAACAGGAAACAAGTTTCATAAGTCAATTAAGGTGAATGCAACCAGCAGAAAAATAATATTTCACTTATGTTGGTAGTTGAAAATAATTGTTTAAAAAAAGCTTCACGTTTTTTTTTATAACTTTATAAACAAAATTTTATCCACTGCTCGCTTCTTTTCACAAAATTACAATTTATTTTAAAAACAGTAAAGAAAAGTATATTTAATTAACAAACAAAATTTTTATTTCTTTTTAATTTCAAATTAAGCGGAAAAAAAGATAAAGTATAAAAAAAACAGAAACTGTCTTTCTAAAAATAAAATTAACAATTATTGTAAACTAATTTTAGTTTAATAAAATTATTTATTTTACTTAGAGAAAATTAATAATGTGCAATAAAATTTTATTTCTTTAATAAATTTATTTTAACAAAAGATGTATTATATTTATTCTCAAAAATAGTTCATGTAAACTAACCCGAAAGTCACTTGAATAAACAAACTTTAGACAAGAGTAAAATAGTGTACGTTTACTACAGATATAATATTCAAAAGGGTTTTAAAAATGCAACGATGCCTACTGGGCAGATAAATCACCATTGTGCAATTATAACTTTTCTTGTTATATAAAATTCAACTATTCGTAATTAAAATTAAAAAATAATAATACTCTATTCGAACTCAAAGTGAAATAAATAAAATCCAATTTTTAAAAGTAATAATTTTTTTTCTAAAATATAAAAACAAAGGATTTTTCCACAACATAAAAGCTTCATTTATATATAGTATTATTAAAGTTTTAACTAAAAACAACTGAAGAGTAAGCCGAAAATCCTTCTCACAAAAAGAGAGAAAGAGTGGGAGATTTTTTTTTGTTTAGGCTTGTTTTTTCTGCGTATTGTCTAACGGTGCGAATAGGTCTCTAGAGATGTGGTTTTAGTGGAATTGTTCTTTGTCGGGTCTACAGTGAAAAAGGCTGTGCAATATTCAGGTAAGCATTCTATATGAATGCAGGATAGGTCAGAATTTTCTCTCTCTCTTATATTTTTCCTTCTACCATTTAAATTAATCCCCCCCTTCAACTCGCTCTAAATATATATTTTTCTTTCATTTTCCTCTTAATTCCGTGGAAAAGTGTAAATAATAGGAAACCTAACCTCAATCTAACAAGCAATAATAATTAACTTAAAAAAATTTATATTTTCGGGCATAATAAAATACTGAATTTTTTATTAAGTAAAACTCTAAAAAGAAATTAATAATATTTAAAAAATTAAATGAGTTAAACTAAAACAAAAAAATGAATCACTGATTAAAACTCGGTGGCAGACATTTAGTAACGAACAGGGACGCGATGGGATAACATGGCGCTCTTCTTTACCGACGACCGTTTATATATTAAAATTCGATCTAATCGGTCATTTAAAATCTATGTCAGTCTCATCGTTAAGTTCCAAGAGTTCAGTTGACTTTTTGATCTTGTAAAATTACCATCTTCGAAATATTTTTCAAATTGGTGGTTATTTAAAAAAGTGTACAAAATTTATCAATTAATCTTATTGTCAAGTAACAACGATCATGATAAATAAATAATAACAAGTAATTTAATTAAACACAACAAATTTTTGTCAATTTTTGTATGAAAAATAAACAAATCTAAATTACTTATAACATTTTGGAAATTTTTTTTCGAATTGTAAGTCATTTAAAAAGTGTATAAAATTTATCAATTAATCTTATTGTCAAGTAACAAAGCGATTAAGATAAATAAATAACAACAAGTAATTTAATTAAACACGACAAATTTTTGTCAATTTCTGTATGAAAAATGAACAAATCTAAATTGCTTATAACATTAAAAAAAAATTTTTTTTTAATTGTAAGTCATTTAAAAAAGTGTAGAAAATTTATTAATTAATCTTATTGTCAATTAACAAAACGATCAAGATAAATAAATAACAACAAGTAATTTAATTAAACACGACAAAATTTCTGTCAACTTCTCTATAGTATATAGAGTTTATCTCCCGTTTGTATATTCAAATAAATTAAGCATTGTGTATCTTAATTAATTTTCCAAAAAAGAATAACGTCCCGAAAGTTTATATTTTAATTAGAAAAAAATAAGTTTAAAAAAATACAAATTTTAGTGGATGAAAATATTAAAAAATAAATTTAAAATACGAAAAATCGTTTTATAATATACAGGGCGAAATCTAAAATCTCCATATAAAAATATTCAAACCCCATCGTATATATATACTTGGGCTCGATGAAAGTTATATTTTCCCCGCAAAGGAAAATTTACCTCCGCATGCAAAAATATGTAAGCTCGGCCGAGCGAAAAATTATTCATTTTCTAAGCCAAGTACCTCTTTTGAATAAGCGCGATTAACAAATAATTTTGTTCTCTACCCGGCTTTTTATTTATTTCACAAATATAATTATATTTTCCACATCCGAAAATAAAGAACAAACACTGAAATAGAAAAAATATTAAATTAATTTTCCAAAAAATATTTCTATTAAAAAAAAGTATTTTTTAAATATTTTTCAATATTTTTTAATTAATAAAAAAAATTGTTCACTGCATAAGAATTAACATTAAATTTTCAGTTGCGCCCCAGTTCCGTACGAGAGAAAAAAATGTATAACACATTTTCCAACGGAATTAAAAGCATCAAAATCTATATTTGCTTTTAGTGTTTAAAGAAAATATTAATTTTTGTTTTATAAAATTTAAGTATTTAACAATATCTCTTTACTCTTCCACTCACTTGAAAAAATGAAATCACAAAATTTTATCTCTGCTATGAAAATTTTTAGTTCTTTTACTGCTAAATAATAAAATAAATTTTAATTTCTCCATTGCAGGAAAAAAAAACAAAATTACTTAGTTTTTTATTTACAGTTCGAATCAATAAAGCAATGAATGTAATGGAAAGTAGACTGGATGTGGAAAAAAGTCTAACAATATGAGATCAATACGAGCCTTTTTACGAGAGCGTTGGACCAAAAAGGATGTGAAAAAACAAAAAAAAAAGAAAATTTCCACGTAAAACGGTTCGGCGAATGATAACCAACTATAGTATTATTACTGCTTCGGGGATAACATTAACTATATGGGCAAATAAAATTAAGGGATGGGGGTGAATTTTTTTTTCTTTTTTTTTTATTAAAAAAAAGTTAATAGGAGTCACTTGCACAATTTGCGAGTAGAAATACCAAATTGGCAAAGACGCCAAGGCGTCGTACTGATTATTGGCAAAATTCATACCGCCAGGTGATTAAGGCTCTTGTTCTCATTAGCATAACGGTCTTTTGTTACAGCATCCATAATAAAATCTTTGAAAAAAAAGAAGTAAAAAAAAAATAACGACCACATTTTATAAAGAATAGACTTCGTTCGCGATAAAAAAAAAAATTGTCAATTTGGATTTCTTTTCGATATTATAAAAGTATATCCTTAAACTTTTTGCAACTTGAAAGTTCGAAATTGAAATCTGATATTTCATTATAGAAATACAAGAGGGAAATTTCTAACTATAACCCGAAATTTAAATCCGAAAGTACAAATAACGTACTTTGTGAAATTATTTCACGAAATTATATCCATTTAATCAAAAACAGTGAAATTGCCTTTGTTAAATTCTAACCTCTCGAGAATTTACACGAGAACAATTTGCTGAGTTCAGATTTCAACCCGTGCATAAAATAATAATAATAATAATAATAATAATAATAATAAGCTTCATAATTATATGTTTTATAATTTTCTTCACATTCTCTGAAGAATGATAAGTGTCAAAAGATATGAGTTTGGTAAAAAAAATGTTTCATTAAAAATATAATGGGGGTAAAAAGATGACTTACCTTGTTGGTATGGAACGGCCGGCATCGCTGCGAACTGCGACGAGGAATTAGCTTCCTCTCAATGGCAGAGGGCGGAAGCAGTGATTGAATGATGACCCTCGGGAACCTCATCAACGTCGTCGTCGAGACAGTCTCGACGCGGCGCTAACCTGGCGGTCATCTCCACGCCGTAAATCTCCTTTTGTTCATCGTCTATTGACCAAAAATTGCACTGCAAACAGAAAAAAAGGGTAATTACATTTTTAAAAAAATAATCGATGGTAAGTAATTCAACATTTATTGTAACTTTAGTGCATTTTAATATTTCCTATCAAACATATTTTTTATATCCTTTTTCATTTATCGATTATCGATTTATCGTATTTCACTGTTATTTATCTTAAATTTACTTTTTACAAGACAATTTCTCACTTGTAGCTTTTATTCTTCTTCACTTTTATTCTTCTTCACATAAGATAAAATCAATTTTCAACATTAGAACTTCTTGAAACTCAAATTTTGAAAAAAAATTCAGAGGTCCTATGTCATTGGTCATTTAAAAAAGTGTACAAAATTTATAAATTAATCTTATTGTCAAGTAACAAAACGATCAAGATAAATAAATAACAAGTCATTTATTTAAACACGACAAATTTTTGTCTATTTCTCTATAGTATGTAAAAAGTTTCTCCTTCGTTTTTACATTCAAATTTTAGCATTTGGTATCTTAATTATTTGTTCAAAAAGAATAACGTTCCGGATGTTTTTATTTTATATTTAATTAAAAAAAAAAAAGTTCAAAAAAATAAAAATATGTTCAAAAAAAATTTTTAATTCTCGTCAAAATTTCAATTATCTGTAGAAATTATTAAATTCTTTTCCAAAATTCAATTATTTGCAAAAATATTAATAAAATTCTTGGCAAAATTTCAATTATTTTCAAAAAATTTCCTCAATTCAATGATTTTTTAAAACCTACTATTTTAATCAAATTTTCCAAAATAATTAAATTATTTATAAATAATTTAATAAAATTCTACGCAAACCTTTAATTATTTTCATAAAATAATAAAAATTTTACAGAAGTTCAATTATTTACAATTTCTTTTATAAATTTCTTAGCAATAATTCAATTATTTCCATAAATAATAAAATTTTTACAGAAATTCAATTATTTTCATAAATAATAAAATTTTTACAGAAATTCAATTATTTTCGTTGAAAATAAAATTCTTTTTAGGAATTCAATTATTTTCAATAATTAATAAAACTCATTGCAGAATGTTAATTATTTTTAATTACAGTTTTAATCGAATTCCTGGAAAAATGTAATTATTCTTAAAAATTTTATTAACATTCATCAAAAGAATTTAATTATTTGAAAATTTGTTAATAAACTTCATTTTGAGAATTCAATTTTAAGAAACATGCAATTATTCAATAAATTGTTTCTTCTGTATTTAAATAATTGAATTCTAGTAGAATTTTCTAATAAAAATTGATTTAAAAATGGATTTTAGTTAAAATTTTAGATAATAATTGAATATTAAAAGCAATCTAGCATTAATTTTTAGAAATAAATTAATATTGCAATTATTTTTTTTAAATGTGATAGAATTTTTTTTATATTATTTGAAGTTTTTATTTTCTAATGTATATTTAATTGAAGAATTTATGAATAATTTTAATTTGTAAAATTAAATATTGTAAATAAATGGATTTTGAAAATTGTCGAAGAACTATTTCGAAAATTAATTGATTTAAAGAAAAAGTTTAGTGAAAAATTCTTAAAAATAATAATTGAATTGAAGTGATGAAAATAGTTTTGAAAAAGTAATATATTCTTATAAAATAAAATAATGATTTTATCGATTTGCTACTCGGGAGTTTTCGGGGTCGCTGATTACAAATTTGTAAGTCAGATTTTAAAAATTCAAAATGGCGGACACAATATGGCGGAAGAACTTTAAAAAATTGATTGATTTTGCTCGAAACATGTTACTTGATTTTAAGTAAAACGCCTAAAATTTGTCATAGAAGTCAAATGTAAAATTCAATTACACAATAATATAAAGTTGAAAAATATTATTTCGCGAATTTAAATTCTTTGAAATTGAAAAGCATTAAAATTTAGTAGAATTCATGTAGAAATTCTATAGGATCAATCTAGTGAAATTCTGTAGAATATTCACTAGAATTCATATAGAATTATTCTATAGAATGATTCTAGTGAAATTCTATAGAACTTTTACAGCTGAAATAGTCAAAAATTCGAAAATTAAATTTTTGATGAGGTTATAATTTTTATCTTTTAACTCGTATCATATTTTTGCAAATCCATGCGATAGGTTCTTTAAATCTATAAAATAAGTTTAAAAAACAATTTACGTTATAAAATATTGAAAATTGTAACAGAAGATTAATTTTGAAGGTTGAAATCTCTTAAAAACTTTAATTTTCAAATTTTTGACCAAATATGTTTTTTCAATATGTTTTTATGTGAAAAATGGTGCAAGAAAAAAAATATAACCTTCTTTGATAATTAAAATTTAAAAGGGTCAAAGTTGGGGGTGGTGTGCCTCCCCTTAAAACCCCCAAAAAAATTAGAAATTCTGATTAAAAGCTCCTTAATACTTGCACTTGTAAAAACTTAAATAGAAACATAAACTCTGCAATCCTAATCATCAATTCACTTTGAACCGGTTCTTTCAAACCCCCAACCCTAAAAAAATAAAACCAAAATAGAATTTTTTATTCTTCCTCATTTCAAATTCGCATCCATTAAATTAAACATTCCAATAGCATCAGCAAATAAATTGCGCTGATCGAATATATTTTCACTTTCCCTTCTTCTTCTTCTTCTTCTTCTTCTTCTTTTTTCTGACCTCAAACTAAATGCATAATCCATAAGTAGGTACACACACTAATCCGATTGAAAATTTAATTTAAAAAAAATCTAATTACTTAACGTTTGTCCGGGACTCAAGTTTTTTTTTTAATATATACAAATGAAAGCCGACTAGAATGTCGGATTAACATTACATCCAAAAGAGAAAATTCAGTAGTGTCGAGAGCTTAAGAATGAGAATGAGATGACCTTTTACGCGTTTTTGAGTTTCTTAATGAAGAGAGTGCTGAAGAGAAATAGAGAGAAAAAAAAAGAGAGAGAGAGAGAGGAAGTTTGTTAAGAGCTTCGGAGAAGCAGAAAGGCAAAAAGGAATTGAATAAAATATATAGGAAGTAGTACAGACTATGTACTGGAAAGTGTTCTTCTACATCGAATAACGCTCTTAATCCCATGCATATTTCATTACACGATAGCCTTGTGATTCTGTACCAATTCAAAACTCTCCAACCTCCCCTTTCACCCGCTATCATCTTCACCATCCGTTTATAACTATACTCTTAACTTCTCTCTATCTTTCTCTTTCTCTCCTGCTTCGTGTCACAATCTCTCAGCGAATGGTTGCTAATTCTCCATAAACTGGTGAACACGATGGGTTATTACTTGGGGCACGTTTCTCGCATCGGGGCTTTCGTTAATAAGGCGTATTCCACTAAAGAGAGATTTCTCTCTCTCTCTCTCTCTCGCTCTCTAAAGAGAGGATCACACGTGTACTCCAAAGATCTCCAAAGACACTTTGTGAAATGTCTCCAAATACTCGACTTCCAGAGCTGAGTCATTTGTCAGAAAATGGAAGCTCTAACATATAGTGTATGTATATACATATATGCGGAGTGTAAATTTACGTACCATGTACTGTAAAGCAAGATTTTCTCATGCATAAAATTAAATAAAACATTTAAAAAATTAAAGAATCCACAATCAAACATAGCTGAAAAAGTTCTATAGAATTTTACTAGAATCATTCTATATGAATACTAGTGAATATTCTATAGAATTTTACTAGAATCATTCTATATGAATACTAGTGAATATTCTATAGAATTTTACTAGAATCATTCTATATGAATACTAGTGAATATTCTATAGAATTTTACTAGAATCATTCTATATGAATACTAGTGAATATTCTATAGAATTTTACTAGAATCATTCTATATGAATACTAGTGAATATTCTATAGAATTTGACTATAGAACGATTCTATATAGAGTTTCTACATGAATTCTACTAAATTTTAATGATTTTTAATTAGAAAGAATATCAATTTTTTGAAATAATTTTCTTAACATCACAGAGAAAACTGGATATTGTTTCAACACTGAAATCAGTGTTAAAAGTATCCGCAACAAATTTTAGCTCGGAAGTGTTATTTCAACACCAAAAGTAGGGTAAATTACCCTCAATAAGATTATCCAACCAAAAAATTACCCGAAATAAAAACAACACTCAGTTTTCTGTGTGATTATACAGTAAGTTCTTTTTTAATGTAGCCACCTGCCTTTAACAACATATATACTAGGTGGATACATCAAAAAAGAACTTACTATATTATTGTATGGTTACTACAGGGTTCGAACTAGGTCCGCAAATTTGCTTAAAATCCGTAAAATTCAATTTTTTTTTTAAAAAAAAAGGTCCGTAAAATCCGTAATTTGATTAAGAAAAGGACGAAAAGTTCGTAAATTGTACGATATAATTTGGAGAACTTTAAAGAAATTACAAATGATTGCAAAAATTTAATTATTTTCAAAAGTAATAAAATTCTTTGCAGAAATTGAATTATGTTCAAAAATTTGTAGAAATTCTCGTCAAAATTTCAATTATCTTTATAAATTATTAAAATTCTTATCCCAGGGCTCATATTCAAATATTATCTAAAATTTTAACTGAAATTCAATTTTAAATCAATTTTTATTGGAAAATTCCACTACAAATTAAATTATTTTCAAATCCAATAATTGAATGTTTCGTAAAATTCCATTCCCACAAAGAATTTTATCAACAAATTTTTAAACAATTGAATTCTTTCGACGAATTTTAATAAAATTTTTAAGAATATAATTACATGTTTCGAGAAATCCGATTAAAATTGTATCAAGAATAATTGAAATCTTGCGATCAGTTTCATTATTTATGAAAATAATTAAATCCCTAAGAAGAATTTTAATATTATTTAAAGAATATTTAATTTTTGCGAAAAATATTATTACTCTTGAAATTAATTGAATTTCTGCAATAATTTGTGACTTTTCCAAAATTAAATATATTTTTCGTGTTTTTAACTAAAATTCTTCCATAAATGCATTATTTTTAATAATTTTTTTGAAAAAGTTCTTTGAGAATTTCCAAATTCATTTGTATATAATTTAATTTTCCAAAATTTCAATTATTCGTAAATTCTTTAATTAAATATATATTAGAAAATAAAAACTTGTAATAATTTTAAAAAAAAATCGGCAAATAAATGTTCTCAAAAAATTTATTCCAGAGTTAAAAATATGAAAAATATTCAGATTCTCAAAAATTTTAATTTAAAACCTTTTCAAAATTCACGCTTTAATGCTTTTAATATTCAATTGTAATCGAAAATTTTAACTGAAATCCATTCTATTAAAAATCATTAAATTGAGGAAAATTTTTTGAAAATAATTGAAATTTTGCTAAAAATTTTATTACAATTTTTGAAAATAATTGAATTTTGGAGAAGAATTTAATTACTTCTAAAAATAATTGAAACTTTGACGAGAATTTCAAAAAAAATTTTGAACATAATTGAATTTCTTTGAAGAATTTTATTACTTTTGAAAATAATTGAATTTCTGCAATCATTTGTAATTTCTCTAAAATTATCCAAATGATATCGTACAATTTACGAATTTTTCATCCTTTCTGAATCAAATTACGGAACTTTACGGACCTTTTTTCAAAAAACGGACTTTTACGGACATCAAGCAAAGTTACGAACTTTTACGGGATTTACGGACCTACCTTGAGCCTTATTATTTATTTTAAAAAAATAAATTGAATATAATAAAATTCTTGGTAAAATTTCAATTACTTTGGAAAAAATGTTTCTATTCAATTATTTTTAATATCCCATAATATTAATAAAATTTTCCAAAAGAATTCAATTGTTTGAAAAAAATTGTAATATACATAATTCTACGCAACAATTTAATTATTTTTATAAAATAATAAAAATTTCACCGAAATTCAATTATTTACAAATTTTCCATAAATTTCTTTGCAATATAATTCAATTATTTTTATAAATAATAAAATTTTTACAGGAATTCAATTATTTTTCTAAATAATAAAATTCTTTTAAGGAATTTAATTATTTTCATGAATAGTAAAACTAATCGCCGAATTTCAATTGTTTTTAATAAAATTTTATTCGAATTCCTCGATAATGTAATTATTATTCAAAATTTTATTAAAATTCGTCAAACGAATTCAATTTTAAGAAACATTCAAATATTCAATAAATTAGTTTTTTGTATTTAAATAATTGAATTCTAGTAGAATTTTCTCATAAAAATTGATTTTAAAATTAATTTCAGTTAAAAACAAATGAATTTGGAAATTCTCAAAAAATATTTTCAAAAATTATTAAAAATAGTGGATTTATAGTAAAATGTTAATTAAATTAATTTTTTTTCAATAAAACTTTTTCCTTTATTTTCTAAAAATTCAAAAAAATTTCAGTTTTATTTTCAATTAAATTTTCTAATTGACAAACATAATTTATAAATACATTTTTTTCCTTTATTTTTAAAAAAAACTTTGAATTTTATAAATATTTTTGATTTGTCAAGCAATATTTTTTAAAGAAAAAACAAAACAAAAGCATACACAAAAACTAACTTCAAACTGCGGACAGAATGAATGAAAGATTCCGAAGATTAATATAGTTAATTGTATTAAATAGTTTAAAAGAAGTAATTAATAAACCTGTAATGAAGAAACCCTTAATACAGAAAATGAATAGAAGAAAACAATGAAATTATATAGAACTTTTTCAGTTGGGCAACCAATTAAAAATATAAAAATGAATCAAATTTATTTGAAAAATGCCACTCGGGGTTTTCGGGATCACTGATTACGAATTTGAAGTCAGATTTCAAAAATTCAAAATGGCGGACACAATATGGCGGAAAAAGTTAAAAAAATGGTTGATTTTGCTTGAAACATTAAGTTACATGGTGGTTTTTAACGTTGCTTTATGGTTAAACTAATATGTCGATCATTTAATACTCTCATTCTTATTGTGATGTTCAATTAGAGTAGTTGATTTGCATTTTACGTTTCCTATCATTTAAAATATTTTAATTAACCTTAATCTATCAATAAAATGATTTTAATACACTAAATTAATTAATAATAACAATTAGTGCTAATTAGTCACCAATAATCCCGAATTCAGTAATTAATTAATTATGGATTTAAAATTCTTTTAAAAATTTTTTCCAATAGAAAAAGATTACAAGGATAGAAAAGCTCACCTTTCCTTTTGTCCTTTGAAAGGTAATCAGACCTCACAAGCAGGTTGTTCTATCCTGCACATTTTTTCCAAGATGGACGTGTTTCTTTTTTTGCCCTTCGCAAAATTTTCCTCTTTCGTCACCTCGGCCTGATTATTTCACAAAATTTAATGACCGAAACTTTTTGCAATGAACTTTTTGAATAATTGAAAACTGGAATAAAATGCAAATAATTGTGCCAATTTGACGCGTTTCTTTCGACAACACCGAATATCTCGAACATTCGATAACATTATTTCCTTGCAACGTGCGTCAATTCCGGTGAACATTATATTTATTGTCGATATTTATTACGTCATCACCATCAACTCATAATTGTAGAAATTTTTCTTCAAGTTAAATTTTTTAAAATCCGAGTGCAAAAAAAAAAAACTTGACTTTATGAGAACAAGAAAAAAAGACTCCCGAGACGATCTCGGAAATTTACTTTTTTTTTATCTACAATTCCTGGAATCAAGTTCCTGTCGTCTCTCTTTATATTCTCGTTAGATTTCTCACTTCTTGCTCTAGCGGAAGCTCTTGCTCTCTAATCCTCCCGGAAACACTTCCTCCAGAACCATCGGCGAGGGGGGGGGGAAATTCTATTTCCTAGATCCAGGAGGAGTACCACCACGAATTTCGGAATTATAATTTTGTTTCACGATTCATGCTTCTCAAGATCAATTGCAAGATATTCTTAATTTTTCTCGTGTAAATCCAAAGGATTTTTCCAATATTGAAAAGGAAAAATCGTTTCCTTAAATTTTTGAATTTATTTTGAATTTACTTTGAATCTTCAGGAAGATCTGTTTCTGTAAATTCAGAGATATTGGTTCCTGAAGACTTTTATGGGGTCCCTGGAAGTTTCTTTTGTGATAAAATTTTCTTCAGTTGTCCACAGAATTTTTTTCCTTCTTGTCAAAATAGTTTTTTAAACTTCAAAGCAATCTCTGGATCAGATCACTGAATTACTTTTTGATTCACTAATTTTAAGTTCCTAAGAGAAAAATTTTTAGAGAAGAATTCGTAATTTTAGAGAAATCCGTAAATTTCTGATCCTTCAGGATGCTCTTCTTCTTGTCCTTCGTAATGGTCGTCGTATCCTTGACACGACCTTGTGCATACTTGAAAAGTTACCTGAGCATCCTTTTCCGAAAATCCTCTTTTTCAACTACAAGTTTTCTTTTCTTAAACAATCTCTTTCTTACAATATCTCCTATCTCAAGGATCTTTCATTGTCAAGATTCTATTGAAGATAATTCTCACAAGTTCCGATTATACTCAACTGGATATTAATGGAAAATTCATAAAAATTAATAAAAAAAAAATCATAAAAAATTATAAAAAAATATAAAAATCATAAAAAATTACAAAAAATTATAAAAAATCATAAAAAATTAAAATTACAAAAATTTTTATAGAATTACAACAAAATTATAAAGATTTACCAAAGAATTGCAAATTCGAAAAAGTAGATAATGATCACAAAAAAAATTATATAAAAGTTACCGACTTTGGTAAATTAAAAACAAAATGGATTTTACTTTCAAAGAAGATGGACTCTCTTCAAAATTAAATTAATTTCAACCCGAGGAAGATGAAACATCGTTAAATAAATTTACTTCAAAATTGAAAAAAATTACCCTTTGTTATAATAATAACATAAAGGAATCTTTCCTACAAAAGATGGATCTTAAAATTAATTTAATTTTCAGAAATATTGACCTTTCGCTAAACTAAAATTTTAATTAAAAAAATTTTTGACGAAGGAAAAAGAAATGGTAAATGCAACCATTTTGTTTTTCGCTAATTTTAAGTTTTACCCCAACACTAATTTATCAAACCAGAAAAAATCCCCCCTATGATTCTAATTATCAAGAGTTATTATTTTCAAAAACTAACATTTTGTCATATACTAAAATTTATCCAAATCTTTTTGCCATAAAAAAAACAAATATTTACAAATACCATTTTTGTTTCACCAACAGAAAAAACTAAAACAAAATAAATTTTCCATTTTTAAAAAAAAGAAGTTAAACTAATATTTATTTTACAAAAAAAAAAACATCTAGAAAAATTTATTTCTCCGTTGTCGCACACTTTTCTTTTATGTACACTCACCACACTGGACACAATCAACAGTTTAGCACAGCACACGACACATGGGATTTTTTTTGGTTATATATTCCTGGCTTTTTTTTTTCTTTAAAAAAAAAGCCTGATGTTTTTTTATAAATAAAAATTTTTTTTTAAAATAATTTTTACAAACTTCTTTCTTTTGGTGAAATTTAATGGTGTAGGTGAAAAAAAATTTTTTTTTTCTTTAATTATTATCCCCTGGTTTTTTTTAATTGTTAGGGGGGGAATTAAGGGGTGAAGGGGGGCAAGGGTTGTCACTCGCGAAGGGGGAACGAAATAAGCGAGGCAGTGCGAGAGGATATAGTGCTTTCGGCACAATGTCGCGCGCTCCACTGAGGCCATGGGCATGCGTCCATTGGTCCATTTCCTTGGCCTGCACCCTCCGCCTCGCGCACCTTCATCCTGGTTTCATGCACAACCAGTAGCACACACCATGCTCCTGATGATGCTGCCTGCTCTATCAAGTATATAGTGGATAGGCGCGCACACGCCGCTACCCCCTAATGCAACAGATGCATACTATCTACATATATATTCTCGAGCTTACAATCCATATGTATATACCTCTGTTTCTATGTATTCCAACTGTTTTCTCTTCTTTTCTTGTTTCTTTTTAATAATTTTCAATTCATTTTAATTATTTTAAATTATATTTCTAATTAGTTATTTTAAATTCTATTTCTAATTAATTATTATAAATTAAATGTATTAATTATTTAAAGTTAAATGTATTATTTATTTATAGTTAAATGTATTATTTATTTATAGTTAAATTTATTATTTATTTAAAGTTAAATTTGTTTTAAATTACATTTATTTTGATTTCAATTTATAGTTATTTATCTTTAATTACATTTACAATTAATTTTAAATTTCATTTTTTATTTATTTCACATTAAATTTATAATTATCTGTAAACATTTAGTTCATCATTTGATGACTGTTTTTACTCCTTACTTGCATGGTTTTGAAATACAAAGAAGATTAACTTAGAAGCCATGCTTTCAAATCAGTAGGAATACAATTTAATTAAACTGTATTATTTCGCAAATTGACAATAAGGTTAATTGATAAATTTTTTTTAACTTTTCGGAATAAATTTATGATTATCTATCTGTAAACATTTAGTTCATCATTTGATGACTGTTTTTACCCCTTATTTCCATGGTTTGTAATTATAAAAAAATTAACTTAGAAGGCATGCTTTCAAACCAATAGGAATACAATTTCATTAAACTGTATTATTTCATAAATTGACAATAAGGTTCATTGATAAATTTTTTTTTTAACTTTTTGTAATAAATTTATAATTATCTATCTCTAAATATTTAGTTCATCATTTGATGACTGTTTCTACCCCTTACTTGCATGGTTTGGAATTATAAAAAAGATTAACTTAGAAGCCATGCTTTCAAACCAGTAGGAATACAATTTCATTAAACTGTATTATTTCGCAAATTGACAATAAGGTTAATTGATAAATTTTTTTTAACTTTTCGGAATAAATTTATAATTATCTATCTGTAAATATTTAGTTCATCATTTGATGACTGTTCTTACCCCTTATTTCCATGGTTTGTAATTATAAAAAAAAATTAACTTAGAAGCCATGCTTTCAAACCAGTAGGAATACAATTTCATTAAACTGTATTATTTCATAAATTGACAATAAGGTTAATTGATAAATTTTTTTTTGTAACTTTCTTGAATAAATATTTGAGAGAATTTCTGAGAACTTCATTGTTTTCTTTTCTTCATTTCCTGCATTAAAGGTTTCTTCCTTACAGGTTTATTAATTATTTAATATAATTATTCAATTAATTAAATTAAAATTCTTACCCTAAAAACAAATTAGATTTATTTAATTTCATTACTTTATAACTTTAAAACTAGTTATTCCTTCCAGCGTGGACTCATAAAATTAATTATATTAATCTCCGTATTTTTTCATTCATTCTGTTCGCAATTTGAAATTAGTTTCTGTGTATGCTTTTTTTTCTTTAAAAAATATTATTTGACAAATAAATGCAGGTTATTTGTTTACGATTTATAATAAACAAAATATTACAAATTAGAAATTTTTTAAAAATTTATGATTAACAAATAAAAAATATACCCATTTGAAGAAGTTATATTCCAATTCATATTTTATTTTTATAAAAAATAGTTTGAATTAAAAAATTGTTGCTAGTTTTTATTAATATAATATGTCAGCTCTAGCAAAAGAAATTTCTTTAGTTAAAAAAAAAATTTTATTTCTAAATGTAATGTATTTAAATTTTTTAAAAAAATTTGTAGCTTTGATAAAAATTGAAATGGGGAAAGTAAATCAGTGGTTTGTGTCAACAGAGAACAGTAGTTAATGTCCGCATGTAGTCAGACGCTAAGGAAATAAAAGCAGTGTATATTCATCGAACATGATTAACACATTGTTTTCCAATTTCCTCCCTTGATTTATGACCTCGTAATGTAGGTTAAGGGTCAAGGGGTCAACGAAGCCTAACAATTAAGTAATAATTTAAGGGGTTTCCAAAAAAATATGAAATTTTTAATACAGAATGTAATAAAATGTGATAAATAATTATAGAAAATTATTCTTCTAAAAAAGGAAACTATTATTGACAGTGCACTTTTTTTACTGTTGTACTTAATATTTAATGCATATGAGCATTAATCTACCTTCTACTTTAGAGATAAAAACGATTTGGGTTAACGAAAGTTTTATATTTGACTCTATGCATTTGTTTTTTAATTCAAAAGGTCGTATTTCTTATTTTAGTTTTAAGTTGTTAAATATCAAGGTATTAAAAAAACGCTGTCTTGGTTAGAAAGACTCTTTAATCTCACATTAAGAGATAAAAAAAATGTTTAAATAATAATCAGAGGACATTAGGGAAACTTTTTAATTATTCGCGCGTAAAAATTTTTAATTCAAATTTTTAATTATAAAAATAAAAACAAACTCTAATACAAAACATTCAATGTTTTCAAATTTTGGACAAAGATTTCTTTTTAAATAACTTAAATCTTGAACAACTATCATAAGATAAATAAATTATTTAATGAATAATTTTATTCAAATATCTCAAAATTAATTTAATTTTAAATGAGTTTACAATTTTCATAAATAAACGAACTTCAATGTTGAATTAATTTAATTAGAAATTTTAATGAACTTAATATGGTTAATAATTAATATTTAAATCCCCAATATGTTTTAAATTAAGACAATGAGGATGATGAAAAATTTCCCTAACGATATATTCAAATGGGGTAAAAAAAACTGAGGAGTCACTATAAGTTATTACTCGAACGGCGTTAATGAATTAAATAACTCCAAGTCTCTTTCCTCAAACTACAATTCGGGTTCATTGAGGGTTTACTATCAGTCAATCGCGACATTCGGCATAATGAAGTTCGTAGTCGTATACACTATCAGTTGTATATTCTTGAGTCAAAGTTTTGAAATATTTACAAAAAATCATTACTACGATGGACTGATAAAGTATCTAAAAGAAGAATCAAAATTGCATCAAGTTGTGTTCGTATTAGACAAACAATACAATAAAAATGATGATCCACTAATGAATTCTCTTATCACAGCAGTTAGTTCACATTTTCCATCTTTGCTTATCAAATACAATGCAGCACGTTCGAAACTTTCAAAATTACAAATTAAGTTAATTAATCGTCCTAGAAGTACAACATTATTCGTTTTAAAGTTCAAGAATGATGACCTAATAGAGCAACTGAATAGATTTTTGATTAAAAACAATAAACTACTAGACGGATCATCAAAGCCAAGATGTTTAATTTTGAACCCAATTTTCAAACAATTTTCCAAACGTGTTAACATCAACAGAACACTGGATTACTTTTGGCAAAATCAGTATTTGGACATTACTTTCTTGACCTACAATCAACAACCGCAAGTAATGCTTAAACCAAGTATCAATCAATTACCCATTCTAAGTCAATTGAATCCTTTCACTGGGAATTACTCAACCGAGATGGTATCATCCAAAAGTCAATGGTTTCCAAATAAGCTACTCAATTTACACGGATACAAATTGAATTTCTCCTGTCAACCCGCCAACGATTCATCTGAAGAAGAATACCAAAAGGCAATAAAATTCGTTAAAATTTTGTCACAAAAAATGAATTTTGAACCACAAGTAACGTTGTTCCTAATAAGGAAAGGTAAAATAAGTTTTGGAAAAAATAAAAGTGAAATAGTAAGACTGGACAAGGAGAATAAGGACAAAAGTAAGGGGATAAATTCCGAACTTTGGTTGAATGTCAAATCATTCTATGACGAGGATATTATCAGAGCTAATAATATACTAATTCTAAATCTCGACAGTGCTAAAGCTGTTATTCCAAGAACGATAAAACATACCGAGGAGTTTAAACTATCACCAGAATTTTGGCACATGATCGTAGGAACAATTGGTCTAATCACTCTAATACGTCTTACAGCATTTTTACTAAATTTCAAAAAAACCAAATGGCAAACTCTGAACATCAGTCAAATTATACTAGGAATGTCCACCAATCAAGAACCAAAGAAAATCCCCGAGAGAATTGCTTTCGGCTCATTGGTAATTGCCTGCATTGCTTATACAAGTTATTTTTATTCAGTAATTCTCGATATTAATTTTCATCCCATTCCCGAAATTTCCACCCTAACTGAACTTGTCAAATCGCCATTGATACCAAGAATGGAGCACGCTTTAAGACGTTCGACAACACATACAATTCGCGCAATTCAAGACTTGATGAAAACATCTATTCAAATTCCATACGGAGGACAGGAATATTGTCTAAAAGAATTGACAAACAATCAAAATGTAACATGTGTAATTAATAATGCCGCACATCATGTTAACACATACGAACTGAAAAATGGTGAAATTGATGTTAAAATATTACCAGACGCTATTAAATATTCAGCCACAACTTTCTCACACAGAACTATGTCGCCCTATATCGATCGCTACAATGAAATAATCCTTAAAGCTTCAGAATTTGGGTTACTTAAAGATTATTATGGAGCTGCTGAACGTTTACATAGCAACAGCTTTGAACCGGAAATAATAA